TGCATTTGTAAAATTAAAAAAGTGTTTAATTTAGAAAAACGTCTTGACAGATTCAATGACAAAAGTGCCCTATTTTGAAACCGATGGGAACCACTAACGCAATACTTAGCGTATTAGTTTATATCTTTATAAGTAGCTGTTTTGTTTTTGTACTTGTCTATGTAAATTTATTTGTTGAATAAAAAATAAATAAAATAAACCTTCTCTCCAAATGCTGCCATAAGCCTTTTTAAAATCTAAGAGAAAATATGTATGCTTTTTCTGGTTTTTACGAATTGAAGCTACACGTCAATTGTCAGTCTGTTTAGATCTTCAGTCTAACGCTCTCCCAACTGGGCTATTTCGGCCTATAAAAGTTATGGAGAACCCGGGCATCGATCCCGGTACCTCTCACATGCTAAGCGAGCGCTCTACCATCTGAGCTAGTTCCCCAAGTTACTTATTTGCACTAAGTGTCTTGTGGATGAATTCAATCACACAACAGAGACAGCGTTTGCTATATCCGTTCAATCAAATAAGTATTTAACTCCTATTCAGTGTATATTATGTTTTAAAATATTTCTTTATAGTAATTTATTCATTTTCCATCAATTTATTTATTAATCATAATTTTGTGCCGGCTGTCATGATTCTCATCGGTCTATCAGTGTCACATGCGATAACAAACTCAGTATGGTTTCCTTAGACTGGTGGAATTGCGGCTAATATGATTAGAGTGTCCAGGAAATGTTCCATCTTCGCCAGGCATGGTACGTTTGTTCGGTCAATACACTTTGACAGATGCTATCGACTAGTACCAAATTATACGCATATTAAAACGCGCCCTCTCTGGCAATACTAGAGATATTTTCTTTAATGCATTGTCCAATCAAATTGCTCGTTATTGCTGAATAACGAACAAAATTGTACAGTAATTTTTTCCTATTTAGATACTAATCCAACATTTTACAATCTGCTAATGGAGAGCTAAAACTATATAATTAGATCAATTCAATCTATTTTGTTTCATTCGATTGCTCAGTGCAGATGAATGTGAAATTATAAAAAGGTTTCACAATTTACAAAGCCTTTCAAGAAAGAATAGATTGTTTTGAATTTTATTATTAGTCTTAGTTTTATTATTAAACTTAATAGAAAAAAAAATTAACATATTACGTTTATACTTAACATTATAATATCTTCTTTCTTTATTATTTCATTATTATACTTTTATTGCTACTGTACTGATAGAAATACTGTATTTCTAAAGATGCAATAAATATTTTTTACCACTATAAATGCTATCAATAAAACTTGATGTATACCTCAGTTTTTAAACAGAAATCATTTTATGACTTTTGATATGCTACATTTGGAGTAGGGTTTTCTCACTAATTTCAAAACACTTCCTTTTAGACCTCTTTAGTGTACAAATGGTATATTGTATGTTTCTGTAGTCGTCAATGGCAGTAAATAAAATGACTGTGTAGAGATAATATGCAACTTTTATTATAAGCTGATACAGTCAGCCACTCTCACTCTCTGTATAACAAATTTAACATTATCTAATGTTATTTACAAAACAATTCATTCTTATGAGCAAGAAATCAATCGATAACAGAAGTTTAGACTCTGCATTCTCAACTTTAAAGAAACCATTAATATGTGAAAAACAGATTATTGAAATCAGTAAACATGAAACATTTATTGTGTTTACTTGTTAATCTCAACTCTACATTTTACTGAATTATCCACAAAGTAACATACTCTCTAAATCCTAAAGGAATTGTTGATTCACACTATTTCAATTAATCACAATCATCTTAACACTGTACACTGCTGTTGTGCGTGTGTGTGAACAATATTTTTTATAGGGTTTGTATTTTGGCAGATATTATTATAACTGAAAATGCATGTGGTTATAATTATTGTGACATTAATTGTTGCTGAAAAGTACTGTTATCTTTCAAGTAGTAGTAGTTAGATTGTTGTACAATAAAGTGCACACGTCCAAATACAAGAACCAGACATGCACATTACATTAAATACAGTGACTATTTTGTTTAGTCAGTAGTATCAATAAAATCATAAACTCTCATTTGTATTTATATAACATTTTCATAGAGAAGTCGGTTTAAACGTGGATATGGGTGCTTTCAACCAATTACAAGGATGAATGATATTGCAAAATTTATTTACAGAAACTTTAATTGATTGTGCGTACAATATTTGTAAAATTCAGAATCCATTTTCATCACAAATTAATATACATGTACATAACTGCTTGGTGAAGTCTGTCTATAGGCAAGACAGATATCTTGTGAATAGTGTAACCATTGCATTGATTATATTATGCATATTACGTATCAAAGATGTCAGCAGTACAGCTTTAACATAGACAACACAAATTGGGTCTGTTACATGTCATTTAAGCTCATTGCTTATTCTGTTGCTTATACGATAGAGAGTTAATTGTATGGAAATGCTGGCACAAGTTTATTCTGGCAAATTCACTTCAAGTGGCACATCAATTCAGTGCATTTTACAGGATTTCCAACAGCAATGATGATTACATGCAGATGTGCAGACAACAGCGTTGACGTAACTTTTCACAAGCTCAAAATTGAGCAAAACTTACATCAAAGTAAAATTCCATTTTGTTCAAAATATTGAAATGTGTTTTTGTTTATTATGAATGCTGCAAAGACCCGTCGCACATGTCATAATTTGAGTAATATGACAAATAATACATATAGCATGTGTAAATCTCCACTTACTGGACAAAATAAATACACGTACAAAACAATAACACAGTATAGTCACAAAGAACTGGTATGAAAATAAATTCTGCTGAACTAACATCCAGATACTATAAAAAATAAATAACTGACTTCACCAAATAGACATGAATTAAGCAATAACAAATTTAACATCACTGATAACGCACATCTTGTGAAAATGGTTCAATATTTTTATATGAAAGTTTACACAACATAACATTTATATATGTATATCATCAAAATTTGAAAAAACGTAATGTTCTATGTTAAAGTAGTATATATAACATATATATAAGTTTATTCACAGAGTTCAGCAAAATATTTCCGGCTTTCATAAATTATTTTACTTAGCCAACAAAAATAAATTCCACCCACACTGTATTACTGTAAACTGAGGAATTAATACATTTCTTCACACATTTAAATACATATTTATAAACCATTTAACATGGTTGCTTCATACTGTCATTGTCATATTGTTCCGCACACCAAAAGATAAGTTGATAGCTAAATTGTTAACTGTTTTGCTGGGTTTGTCCTGAGACATTTGTGTGATTGGAACTAGCTTTCATGAACCATTGAGCAAAATGCAGGTGGTGTCATACAAACCAATTTCAATCACAAAGATCTTGACACGTATTCAAAAAAACATTCAGAAAATGTAGTGGGCATTGTTTTTTGTTTTGGTGTATAAACTAGTATAGTAGTGAGAGTAACAGGTGAAAACACTAGGTCACAGGATTATACTTTATTAAGATAGGTGTGATTGTATTGTATTGTATTCATATTAACCAAGATAAGCACTGTCCAGTCTTGATTATAAACCTGTTACACAATACTATATAGTAACATATCAGTAAGCAACCAGGTAAATAACACAGATGTGTCAATGATCCCAATTATAATTTTGTTTTGTATCATTTGTGGTCTGATTTTTATCAGAGATACCGGTAAGTTAATGAATCAAACATTTTAACAATGTCAACTGTACACACACTTGGTGTAATGAGCGGTATACAGCCATACTAGGTAGTGTGATTATACTACACAGAGAACCAACGCATATTGTTATGATGAAACATTGATCACAATTTGTTTTCATATCACACATTTTTTAAATTCTAAAAGTCATGCATCAATCCCAAAATCTTAGCATAAATTTGTAATCATTAATTTTGATATTCATACAATAGCTATTTAGGTTGAATCAAGGACCAGTCCGACAATACAGTAAAGTGTGAGATCAATTTGTTGTTTTTATTTTAGCTTCCATAAATTAAGTGTCAATAATATATTACTAACATTACTAAGTGGTGTACAACATTTTGTCAAAAAACCATTTAATTAAGAGTTTATCCACATATCTACTTACCAACAAACGTGGTATAAATTGTATTGTATTGCATGTTTTTTAAAGATCTAAACACAAGAAGACAGCTTTTTAGTAAGTCATGATCACAACTTATTCACACAACTACCGGTATGTTAAACATTTGTTAAACACCAGGTAATGACCTCACCCCTGCTGCATGTGACAAACTTTTAATTTTAACCAATAATGCAACTGATTTCATAATTCATAGCTAATATTATTAATTTTTACTACTATATGGGGGGAAAAGATTAATGTTTGGGAGCACCAGACAAACACATTTTTTGACAGAATTACCAGTGAATCAGATATGGTCAACAACTTTCTAAAAAAACTGATTTTTTTTATTTTAGATCATCAAAATTGTTTCTTTTACATCACAGGAATATTGTGAGCAATAATTTCCTTAATTTGTCCCATATTATGTGGTAGTATAATAATGATGACTTACAACAAAATTGTTATTTGACAAAATAAACTTTCAACAAAATTGTCTTTCGAAAAAATGTTGTAGACCTTGAACAAGCCACTAATTAAACAACCATTCATTTCTTTTTTACACAAAAGTTTACTGTATTTCTCAATAAAAAATATGCACATTTTCCCTATTACTACAATAATAGCCATCACATTGTACACACCAAAGACTTACAGATCAACATAGGGGTTGAAATTTTGAAATCAAAAATTAAGTATTCAAAATTATCTTTCAGATGTTCCATGAATAGAGGATACCCTAAGATACTAAAATATAAATGCTATCAGAAAAAGTTTATGTATGCAATCAAATATACTTAGTAGATGTTTAACATCATTGATTATAGAATAAATATAGATCTCTCAAGGCTAAATCATCATTTTCTAGGTCATTAAATAATTATCACAGCATCAAGTACATCACATAGCACCATCCATAAAGTAGATTGTCTTCAAACATTTCAATATTTTTCATATCAGTCAAGGAGCATTATTCTATGATTCACCACTGTGCGGTTTTAATCATCTTCACATTCGCATTCGCATTCAGCAAAGCAGTAACCCTTGGATATTATTATGTATTGTACATGTATTGTGTTACAGCACAACTATGTCACCAAATATAGCTAGCACAGATGTATGCTAGAAAGTTGAATGTTTATAATGGCATATGTACCCGCCTATATACATCCAAATCATCATCATCATCATCCTCACCTTCATCATTGTCAATCTGTAACAATAAACAAATTCCAACTTTTAATGACATTTTGTCTACCAGGTGATCGAACTGACAATAACAAGATTGCACCTAATTATTTACAAAAGTTATCACGGTTATTTTTCTGTGTTTATACTCAGTCACCCTGGGCTTACATCATATTGAAATCATTCAGTCATTTTAGATAAGTCAGTTTCTAACATAATGACAAATCCACTCACAAACACTTTTTTCCCTAAATATTGTAAATTTAAGATATATAGTTTTGATTAAACATAAACATGTCAGAGATATGGATCCAGAGGTAGATTATGATAATTTGTCATCATTAAAATGTTTGACATTCAGTCATCTTGTATCTGATCGTCAAATGAGTACTTTTCAATATTGAGAGATATTGCTCTAGAAATAGCAATAATTAAAACAAAATGGCCACTAGTCTGCCATTTTGAATATGTCTGTATATCTATGACATGATGTATAATGAATATAGACAATTTGAACATAATCAATCAAACATGTTAGAGATATGGCACTAGAACTGCATTGATTAAGAGAAACCAGCCACCAGTCGGCCATTTTGAATCCCATCTGAATAGCAAAATGACGTGCAACAAGGTCCCATAATGTCCAATGTATGTACAAAGTTTCAACAAAATCAATATTATGCATGATGTATGTGTGAAGTTTGAATGTGATTGCACAAACACAGGGACGCACAGAGGTCAATCCAGAAGTTCCTGTTTTCAGACTGCATCTGAACAGGGACTAAATATAGTGTGGCCAGGTTGTCACTTGGTAAATGACAGTCGTCATAACATTGACACCACAATGTACAGATGCACCTACTGCAAAGACTTGGTGGTTTTAATTATGCAGCAAACTTGATTTAAGATTTGCATATCACTTTTAGACAATACCAATGATATTTCAAATGACTCCATCTACAGTACATAATTGAGTAATAATATTAATAATACTTACTGCGTCTAGTTCAATTGGTGTAAATATCCGTGCAAGAACCTTCAATCGTACTGGTACCATGAGAACGAGGACAAATGGAAAAGCTAATGCTACAACAGTTGACTTCACCACCCACAATAAAGCCAGACATACTAACTGTAGTAGAGTAAATAAGTGTATTCTGTATGTTCTAACCTATAACACAAAAATACATTGTGTGAATAAACAAGTCTTTTTATTCTAGTCAAAATTAACTCAAAACTTAGAAAACATAACGCACAGGCATCAAAAATAAGGTGGAATATTGTTTTGACAAACTTGAAGCAAATGAGATCTTGAGTTATTAAAATGTTGTATTAAATACAAAAAAAAAGCAGAGAGAAAATTTCTTTAATTATGCAAATTATTGTGCATACATTTTCACAAAAAATAATCCTGTTACAAACCACTGGAAATACCCAAGTCTATAATGAATATTAGATACCTAAAAAAAGGCTAGTTGTTGTGCAAATTGAGTTCAATTCAAATGAGTACCGTGAAGAAGGATATCACAATTTTTTTTAAATACAAAATTTAGATCAAAACATGAGAAACATGAAATCTTCAGCATCTAATAATAGACTCCATACTTAACTGTGTGATTTAATAATTATTTAAAATACATGGGAATGTGCAACAGTGCAAGTTGTTAATTTTGACCACTGCTTTAAACACATTCTATTTATGATAAATCTATGAATTTTTCATAGAATAATTAGTTTTACTTATAGATTCTATAAAATATAAAAAGTTCATTTTGATTAACATGTGCCAAAAAACTTCTACTACATCCTTGAGAAAAGCTCTGTGAAATATGCCCATCTAACCACTTATAAAAATGTCAGTGAAATTTTAGTGATTCTTGAAATAGGTAAACTAGAACTTTGATAACTATTATATAATGTAGGTAATTAATACACTTGACCTTCAAATTTTATCTTGAAAATTGAGCTTGCTAGTTACACAAAAATAGAACTTAATTGGCTGACATTTCATAGCAATTGATAAGATTGTAGGGTAAAACTAACCTGTCTCACGACGGTCTAAACCCAGCTCACGTAGGTAATTAATAATAATAACGTAGGTAATTAATACACATGGATTTGTACCAAATTATAATACATTAAATGTTTCTTGAAACATTTCAGAAAATGCTAAAAAATTAGTCATGGACAGCAAGTCTAGTTTTCATTATCAGCAGTATAATGACTTCATTCTGTCTACCCATTTCATGTCAAACAAATGTTTTAATTCAGTCAAATTTTATCTTGAAAATTGAGCTTGCTAGTTACAAAAAAATAGAACTTAATTGGCTGACATTTCATAGCAATTGATAAGATTGTTTGAGTTATTGTAACCACAAGAAGAAGATAATTTTAATTGAAATTTGACCAATATCTCAAGAAATATACAAAGAACATGTACAATAATCCAAGTTATTGTAACCCCCCCCCCCCGAATAGTTTTAAGACTGAGTCAACGACGACGACGACAACAACAACAACAGACATGTTCCTCTCATATACCTTGACCTTCATCTACGATGATACAGACAAGGTACAATGCAGACAGGATAAATAAATGCATATACTCCCATTTTGTGCTTTGCACATGAGGGTACAAAAATGAAGCAGCGTAATGCCATACATATGAAAATGCTTTCACTTTTGATTTGGTGCATCAACTTCTAGCAGCACAAATACAGAATTGTCTTGTGAAATGAAACTAATGTTTGAAACGATTTAAAAATTTAGTGCCACAGTTATAAGAAGACAAACATAAAAGAGGCCAGCTCATGGACAGTAATATCTCTCCAAATTATTTTTAAGAAATGAGTTTAAGAAAAAAAAAAGCATGTTAAATACATTTAAACAAGCAGCCTATCGGCTGAGGTAGCTCCGCTGCTAGGAATGCACATTTCAATTAAAGAACTGAAGACATCATTAGAAAATGAACAATATGTATAGTATCAAAGCAATCGGACTTACAGTTTTTAACGAGAAGTCGAAAATATCACTTTCTACCAAAAATGACAAAAATATTCACTAAAATTAGAGAATTGAAGATATCATCACAAAATAAACAAATCTGAGAAAGATCTTAATGTAGTATCTATATATGTAATATCAAAGCAATTGAACTTTTGGTTTTTAAGAAGAAGTCGAAAATATCACTTTTTACCAAAAATGACAAAAATATTCACCAAAATTAGAGAATTGAAGATATCATCACGAAATGAACAAATCTGAGAAAGGTCTACATGTAGTACCTATATATGTAATATCAAAGCAATCAGACTTACAGTTTTTAACGAGAAGTCGAAAATATCACTTTCTACCAAAAATGACAAAAATATTCACCAAAATTAGAGAATTGAAGATATCATCACGAAATGAACAAATCTGAGAAAGGTCTACATGTAGTATCTATATATGTAATATCAAAGCAATTGAACTATTTG